TGGCACCCATGTGCATTTCACAGAAGCCAACTTTTCAAGCTGTCCTTTAAGAAGACCTAGCACTTGAATTTGAAACCTTTAAGTTGTACGTGGACAGGGCACACTCCTTAAAAAATCACCTTTCCAGTTTTTCGAGTTTTTAGCCAGTAATTTTCCCGCCAAAACTTTCATGTGCCGTACGCGAGGCTCATACGTGCGTGAATGTTAGTACCACGGCCTTCGGGTAGGGTTTGGCCGGTGAAACTCATTGAGAAAATTCCAGCGCCAAAGCTTGCCTGGTTGCCAAGTTGAAGTGCCCGGACAGACGTACGCAGACGTGTGCACACACACGCGCACACATATGCATACCATGGCTCGTCACAATATGTATTCCGGTATTTCCACAAATATGCAAAAACGCATGTAAAAGAGAGATGAAGCGGAAAGTCAAAGTTTTGAAATGAATTCAAACAAAAAAAAAACTGGTAAACAAATATGAAACATCCAATTGTTGAAATAGACCTTTACGCGCCAAATCCATCTTTGAAATGTGCAGCTATTCACTGACGTTGGAATGTTGCCAAAAGATGTCTCGTGAAGCTTTTTCTCTGCCGAGTAGTGCAGAGATCTACTTGAGTGATTCGCAATGATAGTTAGTGCGATGGGGTGTTGTTTGATTGTCACGTTTGTTTTTGCCATTGATGTGCAACTGGCAACTTCTCCACTCTTCTCTGTTTTGGGCTTCTCTCATCCACCTAATTCCGTGTGAAGCAGCTGTTGCTGGTATGAAGGGTGACTGTTGAGGCGGGTTCTTTCCGTGCATCAGTGGTTATTCCTCTGTTCATTTAACGTTTCGTTGGTAAAATAAGTGCTTTTATCACAGTCTTTCTGCGGGTGAGCCGATACAGCGATCTTATTGCTCGCGATTTTCCGGAATTTTACTGGAATAGGTCGACAACGAGCAGTATTTCATAGCGCCAAAATCAACGATGGTGAGTTTGCATTGGTGTGTAATTTCTCTCTCGCCGGATACTACTGGAGGTATGCAGTGCAGGATCGAAGGGCTCTGGCTTATATAAGTTTTCCGTGTTATTGGTTGTCAATTTGAGCAACTAAGATGTGTGAGAATCAAGTTTTTTGGATTACTTCGGGAAGAAATTTTGAAAAAATTGACAAAAAATTGAGTTTCGACCACCTTTTATCCTCAGAACCAGCTATA